GGGGAGGGAGGGGGGAAAGGGGGAAGGAAAAAAAAGAAAAAATTGGAGAAGTCATGTAAATTCTGTTTAATGTATGTAATGTCAATTATATATTCTCCTGATAAATAAAAATTTAAAAAAAAAAAAAAAAAAAAAAAGTTAACTCAGGTGAAAAATCATAAAAAGACAAAATGATTGGATCTCTCAGGAATATTTCCCTCTAATATGTTGAAAGAAGAGACACAGCTTTTAGTTCAACTTTATTCTAACCCACAGATGTACAAATCACAAAACAAGAATTAAACTTTAAATATACAAGAAACAAAACCACATATCTAAATTGAACAATAAAAGTAGACACAATGAGTGCAAATACATCAAATGATGAAGAAAAATGTATAAAATTTTAAATATAGATGTTCATCAGAGATTTAATGGTGAACTAAAGTTCATTAAAAGTTCATTAGTGGGATTTACTGTATATATTGTTTAATTTGATAATTTTAACAATTATTATTGTATAATCTGTAAACAGTTAATTAATAATTAAAAAATATTTCTTTTTAATTTACCAGAAACTTCTAAATAAATTCTCACCCTGTACTGAAACCTGTTTCAGGGTCTTACCGCCAGCATTACCGTCACCAGCTGGTAAGTCAGAGTCAGAGTCAGAGATTCTTTATTGTCATTCACACCTCATGTGATACATGTGGTGGAGCGAAATTGTGTACACAGGGTTCCAGTTACATCCAACAATAAATTGTATAAGAAAAACAGTAATAACATCTAAGATATGAACTAAGAAAAACTAAGGTGTGTGACGTCAGTGTTTGAACTCTGAACCTGCCCACTAGAGCCATTACACTGAAGTGAAATGGAAAACCAACTGTACCATTCTATACTGGTAGTAATGGAAAAGACACTTAACATTGCCCTGAATATTTCCCTGGATCTCTTGCCAAACTGAAACATATTTAGCACTAATTAAGCATTTGCACAATTTTTAGGCACACAACTGTAGTGAACCAGATAACCTCAAATCTACCAGATGGACAGAGACT